CCATCAAGGTAAAGAGTGTGCCACTTATGACATGGCCCTTCCTGTGGAAGGAAACTAGACGTGAGGGAAGGAGCTGCGGCAGCCAGCTTGGGCTGTGAGGTGAAAATAGCTGTGAAGATGGCAGAGCAACAAGATGGAAGGGGTCTGGGTCTCCCAGGAATGGGCCCAGTACCAGGGCGTTATCTGCGGGGGAGACTTCTGGCTTGCTTTTGTGTGTGGGGATCTTTGTTGCAACAGCACCACCTGCATCTTCAACAGTGTGCAGCTGATTCCTTCCTGTGGGAGCCTCCTCTTTCCCCACCCCGAGATAGAGCTACCTTGACATCGGGGTCCCTAGCGCTCCTTTGAGTAGTCCCGCTATTCTCTGCCTCTCTTTCCCGTTCCTGCCTTAGTGTCCAGGCCTCCATTTCCGGGTCACTTCCTGCAGCAGTCTGGTTGGGCACAAAATCACGAGCCACTCACAGCCTTGTAGATTCAAACAGCAATTCTTTATTCCCGAACTCACACCAGCCTCTACACACACGTTCTGGGGAAATCCACGTTCTGGCCAAATCCACGTTCTGAATCCCAAATACTCTGGGAGAGGGCGTGCCTGAGGCAGCAGGATACGCCCTATTCCCAGCAGGGTACACCTTAAACCTGGATCCGCCCTAATCCAGTAGGCTCCTCCTTAAACCCGGATCCACCCTGGTCCTTGAGCAGGGTCACCTTTCTCAAGCATTCGTGCAATGTCACTGCAAATGTCCAGGGCAAGTCCATTTCCACGAGTCCTTCCTCTAAGCAACATGGGGTACGCTGGCAAGGGAATCGTCACACCTACTTGGCTAATGGCTCTCAGCAACTTCCCGGCTCTCTGGAGGGCGGCGGTGCTGCTCCTCCCCCTCCCTCGTGGAGGACCAGCTTGCGGGAGGGTGTGGCCGTGTTGGAAAGAACCCCCCTCAGAATCCTGCTTGTCCCTCCTAGCAGGGCATCTCCTGGGGAGGGAGGAGTCCTGGGCCTGCTCTGTCCCACGGTTTGAAAGGGTAAAGTTTCTAAGCTGGAAAGCTTGAATGTAAAAGACCAGGTATTATTAAGTTCCTCTGCTACACCCAGAACCTGAAATTCCTGAGATAGTTAAGACAACGCCCTACTGGCCATTTAGCCCAGGGCCCTGTGCAGTTTGTCACAGGGCCCGAACCAGTCAGTTTGAGTGTGTACCCCGCTTAGGAATGACCAATCACCCCCATCCGACCTGTTCCTGCCAATGAATGTGCTAATCACGTCTCAGAGTTGTTGTTCAGTTTTCCCGCGCCTCATGATGATTTGTTCTGATGTATGCAAAGCCCCCCACCCTCTCCAGAAAGTGTACTTAAGCTCTGCTTGACCTCTGCTCTGGGCTCTGGGCTGCTCTCCCTTCTTGAGTGAGCACGGAGCCCCAGCGCGCTGGAATGGATCCCCAATAAATCCCCTTTTGCCAATTGCATGGAGCCAGTCTCTTGTGTGGTCTCTCCCTCCGACGCTCCGCCGGACCCTTACAGGTTCACAGGGAAAACTGGTGTCAGGTGGGTGGGTTTGGGACCCACCCACCCAGAACCCCAGGCCACTGCCTTCATTTTGATTTTTTTTCTTTTTGGTACCAGGGATTGAACTCAGGGGCGCTCACCACTGAGCCACCTCCCCAGCCCTATTTTGCATTTTATTCCGACACAGGGTCTCGCTGAGCTGCTCAGCGCCTTCCCATGGCTGAGGCTGGCTTTGCACTTGCGATCCTCCTGCCTCAGCCTCCCGAGCCTCTGGGATTCCAGGTGTGCGCCACCGCACCCGGCCGCTGCCTCTGTTTTGAGTGATTGTTTTTTCTTTTAAGGTTGGAGACCTGCCGTCTGCCAGGCGCTTGGCCGGCGTTTGCCTCCTCACCTCCTTGGAAGCTGCGCTGAGTCTGATGGGATTCCTGATGTGAAGTACTCGTCCGTCGGATTCCCATTTTATGGACATTGTTGCTTTTCGGAGAGTTTCCTGCTGAGCAGTACCAGGCCAGGGCCTGGGAGGAGGGACAGAGGCGCTGGGTCTCTGGCCAGGTGGAGGACCCCACCGGCCACCTGGCCTTTCCTCTCCTGGCTCCAGGGGCCTGGCGACCTGTGGGGAGCCACAGCCAAATTCTCCAGTGAGTGACAGTGATCCTTCCCTTTGGCTTCAGCTTGCCAGAGACTGACTGGTCCTAGGGACAAGCAGCCAGTTTATGCAGAACAGAGGTCTCCCTGCCTGCCTCCCCCGGCCTCCCGGGGCCAGTCCTCAGGCCCCTCCTCTCACAGGAAGCCCCCTGTGTCTGGAGGTCTGCACCGGGCCGAGGGTCCTGCGTGGCCTGTCCTCTCTGCAGGGTGGGTGGCCCTGTGTGGTTCCGCCAGGGCCCAGGCCCTCTGTGAGCGCTCTTTGGGCCAGGGGTTCTGGCCAGAGGGTGCTGAGAGACTGGGAATCCCTCTTTGGAGGTGCGGTGGCTCTTTCCGTGGTCTCATCCAGGAAGTCGTCACAAAGCTTGCAGAGCTAGAGCCTGCCGGCTTCCACGGTCTGCCCCCTCGCGGTACACCCCCAAGGGGCCGAGTGCTCAGAGGCCCAACAGTCATCATGGTCAACAGGCAACAGGAAAGGCCAGCAGGGCCCAGACCTACCCTCAGGGGTGCAGAGGAGGGACGGGGCTCTGCTGGGGGGACTTCCGGGCAGAAAGTGAGAACGAATGGGTGAGCGGGGCTGCTCTACTGGCCTGGAGCCCTGACAGAGGTGCATGGGGACCCCCCACCGCAGCACAGCCCAGGGCCACAGGACAGAGCCCAGGGGAGCACGCCCCAGGCCTGGACAGAGCCTCGGGCCAGGCTGAGCTTCTGAGGACAAGAACGGTTACTCCCAGCGGCCAAGAGCGGCACCTGGGCTCAAGGGTCACGGCTCCCCACTGTGTGCGTGGGGTGCAGCTGGCTCCCGAGTGGTCACTGGTGGACCTGCCTGAGCCCTCCCCAACAGAGCCGCAGCTCCATCCTCCTCTGCCACACCTGGAGGGGCAGGGCCAGGCCCCCTGCTGGGGTGGTCCCGCGTCCCCTTGGAGCCCTGAGGTGGCCGAGGTGCAGGGCAGGTGCTCAGCCCGGCCTCCCTCCGGGCAGCTCCGTGGGTGACGTGGCTCCACCCGAGAGCCCGGGCAGCTCCGTGGGTGACGTGGCTCCACCCGAGAGCCGCAGTTGTGGTGTGCAGCTGTCTCATCGACTCCCTTCCCACCAGCAAGCACCTGGCCTCCCTGCTCTGGGGGCAAGGCCGGCCCAGAGGAGGGAGAACAGAGGGAGACGCAGCGTCCCCTGGGCTTGTGAGGCGGGTCTGTCACTGGGACTAACTGTCCCCGCGCCCTGCTTCTCTCCCGCCCGCCCGCGGCAGGAGGCTGGGGCTGAGCTCCAGGTCGTGCCTGGGCTGCTGTGGTCCCATGAAGGTCGCCTTCCTCCTCAGGACAGAACTGAGACCCGGGGAGGACGTCCAGGAGGCTGCGGACAGGCCTGGAGAGGGCAGAGAGGAGACTGACCCTGCGGAGACCCTGCTGGGCAGGGACAGCAGCCCCAGCCGGGCAGGGCAGGAGCAGGGACCTCGCAGAGCCTGGTGGCCGTCCTTGAGGGGTGGCTTTGACGTATCACTCCCTCTCGAGGGTCCGGCACGAACACCAGGCCCTCCCCTGCTCTGCAGCTGAGCCTGTGTTCCCAGGACGCTGGCCCCGGGCCAGTGGTGGAGCTGCTGGCTCCCGTCACCTTCATCCACGATGCGTCCTCCCCTGGGAAGGGGCTGGGTGGGGAGGATGTGGCCAGGAGCTGGTGGACAGTGGGCCTCCCGGGGAGGGGTGCTGAGGGTGAGCAGGAGGGGCGCCGGGGCTGGGGTGGCCATGGGGACACCTGGCTGGGTCCGAGCAGGGAAGGTGGGGCTGTGGTCACAGCCGGCTTCACAGCTGTGGCACAGGCATGTGTCACCAAAGCCAGGACCGAGGCCCCAAGAGGCTCTGCCCCTGGCTCCCGTGGGGTCTGTCTGGGTCCATGTGGACAAGGAGTTGGGGCAGAAGCCATCCCGGAGTGGAGAGGGCTGGCTCTGCTCCCTGCGTGTCACGGCCACCTGGCGGCCATAGCGAGATACCATTGAAGTGGCCCCCCTTTCCCCACAGAAAAGCCCTCTCCACCATGGCTGACGTGGGGACTGTCAGCAGAGTCCAATGTGGATGAACTTCCTCTTTTCCTGTTGCTCTATTTTACCTGGCCACTGGCCGGGAAGATACCTGCACTCCAGGTGCTGGACACCCCTTACTAATTTTCACAAACGTATCCAGTATAGTAGTTTGTACAAATGTGCAAACAAGGCTCTGGCCTTGAGCTGGGCTTCACAGAGATGTCAACATTTCTAAGATAAGTTACATCTGGGCTCCATGGTAACAGCTGGCAGGGGAGGAAAGAGAGGGGAGAAGCAGCTCCCCCCTTCTCAGGTGTGGTCCTTGAAGGGTTAACTTGCCCAGAAGAGTGAGAGAAAAAGCTGCTTTTATGTGAACTTCTGCAGACTGTGAACTTCTGAGCCCCTCCCCTTACACGCTGGGCATAAAACTCTGAAACTCCCTGAACTCGGGGTTCAGGGGATTGATTGATTACAGCAAAAGCTGTGCCCTCTGAACCTGGCTGCAGCCAAATAAAACTGTCTCCTGCTGTCCTGGTGCCCTGCCTGTCTGTCCCTTCAACACCATGGACAGGCAACTTACAGACCACGGTGGGCGGAGCTGGGGACAGGGCAGGGCAGGCTGCGGAGGACCTGGTGAGGGCCGTTTCCCGGGTCACGGATGGCACCTTCTCACTGTGGCCTCCTGAGGCGGACCAGGGGCGGGGGCTTTCTGGGGGGGCTTCTGTCAAGGCTCTAACCCACCTGAGTGCTCCACCCTCCTGTCCTCATGGCCCCCAGAGGCCCCCGTCCCCTTGGTTAGTCACCGACACGTGCACTTGGGGAACACACACCCAGACCACGCCTCCTTCCCGTTCCAGCCAGGGGCCTCTCGGTCCTCCCCACGCTGAGCCTGGAGCCCTGGGGCGGCCATGCAGTCAGGCTGAGGGTGACCGGCAGGAGGACAGGTAGTGTTCCTGGAGGCTGGCTTCAGGGACAGAGGCAAGTGGCACCCATGGCCAGGACGCCACGGCTCTGACCATCCCTGGCCTCCCCCACCCACTCTGACAGCCCCGACTCCTTCACCATCTGCAAAGGCACTCTTAGGTTCCGGGACACAAGGCTATCCGAGACTTCTCTCTTTTTTTGTACGAGGATTGAACCCAGGGGCCCTTCACCACTGAGCCACGTCTCCAGACCTTTTATGGTATTTTACTTTGAGGCAGGGTCTTGCTAAGTTGTTAGGGGCCAGCTAAGTTGCCCAGGCCGGCTCTGAACTTGCAACCCTCCTGCCTCAGCCTCGGGTCGCTGGAGTCGTAGGCCTGCACCACTGTGCCTGGCTCTCGGAGAATTCCGGAGATGGCTCAGGAAAGCAAGCTCTGGTGGCCCTGCAGGATCCCGCCGTCGAAGGCTGGGCAGCGCTGGTCTCAGGCCCCAGTGCTGCAGGCCTCTGGATCAGCCTGATGGCTCTGGCCGAGCTTCCCCTGACTCTTCCAGGGAAGCATGCGTCCGGCCTGGGGCACCCATGGTGTGGACGTGCAGGACACAGAAGGCGATCTTCCTCACATGCTCTGAAGCTACACGATTTGGGCAGAGATTTCCTGGAAACTGCATCAAGTTTCCCTCTCAGGCAGATGGCCTGTAATTACCCCCCAGATGGGTGGCCACAGGCCTTTCCTGGGCTGCCGGCTCAGCCAGACCCCAAGAGCTTGTCTCCACGCCTTCCTGGGGAGGACAGTCTGGTCCCTGGGGCCCACAGGAGGCCCCTTGCAGGAATGAGTCCTGCCCAGCAGACACGGCTGGTCTGGATTTGTGACCGCCACCCAGGGAAGGGGGGTGGCCCAGGGGAATCGCGGTGTCACCTAACCCAGCGCCTCTCTCTGCCGGTGCGTCGGGGGGAGCTCAGTCAGCCCACTCTCGGGAATCACTGAGTGTCGTGAGCGGAGCTGCCCCCAAGGTGTGCAGCCCAGCCAGCGAGGCCACGGCATGACAGCTGCCCAGCCCTGACAAGGACCACAAGGTGCTTCCAGCCACGTCTTTAAGGGACAACAGGGATGACACCGAGGGCAGCTGGCCGTTTCTCCTCGGCCTCCCCGCCCGCGGGAGAGAGGCTCTCTGCCGCCCTCCGTGTCCGGGCATCCTGTGAGGGGCTGCCCTGCCCTTCACTTGTGTTTTGTGCCTGTTCAAGTTTTCCCGGGCACCTCCCTGGCGTCCCCAGCGTCCTAATTCCCCAGACGGTTTCCAGGATCACCAAGGAAGGGCCTGTGCCTCCCCCGCTCCTCTCCGGCGGGGTCTGAGCCGCGCCTGCCTGCAGTACCTCAGCAAGGCTGCGACCTGCCAGGGCCAGGCCAGAGCTGCCATGGGCGACGTCCAGGGAGCCACGGGTCTGGGCTGGTGGGCAGAGCCGGGCCTCAGCGTGCAGGGCGTGCTCCTGGTTCCACCCCAGGCCTCTCCCTTGTGGGGTGACTGTGGGTAGGAGAGGGGCCCTCCTGGGCCAACCCAGGGGTGGCAGAGGCTGGGCCAAGCTGTAGGAGAAAGTGACCGGTCCCCCAGCCCTGGTGTTGAGAGGGGACAGCTCCAGCAGAGGGCAGGCCCTGGCCAAGCAGGAGGCCCATGGAGTGACGGCTCCACCAACTGTGGGGACACTTCCTCCTGTGTGGGGGGAGCTGGCTTGGTGCCCGGATCTGACTCCCCACCCTCCTCCCCACTGGCTGGAGGCCAGAGGTGGGGGGAGGGTCAGCTCTGTGCACGGGGCAGGGCGGCACAGCCCACCCACAGGTTCCCTGACTGCAAAGTCACCGACTTGCTAAAATGTCCCCGGCACCCCGAGTCCATACTCACAGAGCTGACTATCTCTCTCCATCACGTGCGGGGAGACAGAATCGGTGACTGCCACACAGTCCCAGCCCAGGCTGAGCAGGTGACCTTCTGCCTTCTTGCTTCAGTGCCCAGGGTGAGCAGATGTCCTTGGCCTGGTCCAGTTAGGTCCACACAGCAGGATTTCCATGCTTCTGTGGGTCCCTTGGCGTTCTCTGTCCTGTGTCCTGGGCCCGAGAGGCCGTGACACACCTAGTGGGGAAAGTCAGGCCCACGAGTGGTGCTGCCGGCCACGGACTCCACGTGCAGGACTCAGCTGTCCAGACCAATGAGGCGTCTTTAGACTGGACACATGTGGAGCAAGGTTATGTGCTGATCACCGAGAAATGTGACCGGAGGCTTTGGGAAGCCATCATGGCTGACTGTGCCATGAACACAGACAGCCCGTCTCTCCACAGTGTCAGAATGCACTGAGTACCATCATGCACGGCCACTCTGCCGCAGGGGAGGGTCATCTGGTGGTCAGAAGGCAGGCGATATCTCTAACACCAGAGTCACACATCACACTCTACACCATGGAAGGCTAAGAAAGGGTCAAGGTAGCCCCAGGGAGAGAGAGAGAAGACAGGAAAGTAAGAGTCACTACAGGTGGCCAGATTAAGAGATTAAGAACCAGCTGGTGGGCAGGGTGGTGCACGCCTGCAATTCCAGCTGCTGGGGAGGCTGAGGCAGGAGGATCACAAATTTGAGGCCAACCTGGGCAACTTAGCAAGACCCTGTTTCAAAATAAAGTAAAAAGGGCTGGGGGTGTAGCTCAGCGGTGGAGCACCCCTGGGTGCCACAAACCCCAGGACCACAGACAGATTAAAAAAAAAACCCAAACCAAAAATAAAACCCAACAACATCAACAAAAACCAGCTGACGGGCTTGTCCAGGGAGCAGAGCTGTCAGAGATGGACTTGGTCTGAGCCAGTGTCCCACAGCAGCCATGTTCCCAGCGTCGTCAGCATGAGGCGTCCGCTGGGAATGGGCAGGAGGAACTGGTCTGTGCCCTGAAGGCTGGGGACAGGAGATCTGTGGCTGTGACGATTTTCCTGGGCAAGGCTCGTGTGTGGTGAGTGAGCAGAGGTGTGCGTGCTCCTGGGCTCCACCCCAGGTGACAGGGTCTAACCAGTCTTGGGGTGCTCCTCCTTACGTGGGACTCAGGTGAGGGCTGCTCCCTCTGAAGGTCTGGTGTGTTTGTTAAGCTTGGGGGCCTGGCTCTCCTCCTTCTTATTCTCCTCCTCCTCTTGTTGGTACCAGGAATTAAACCCAGGGGCACTTGACCACTGAGCCACATCTTCGGCCTGTTGTTTTTTTTTTTTTTTTTTTTTTTAATTTTTATTTTGAGACAGAGTCTCAATAAGTTGCTGAGGAGGGCCTTGAACTTGCAATCCTCCTGCCTTGGCCTTACTAGCCACTGGGATTCTAGGTGTGCGGCCTTTTGCCCAGCTGGGCCTGGCTTTTCTGATACGGAGTTGCTATGCCCTTGTGTCCATGTGCTTCTGATTTAATCAGAGATGGTCACAGGTGGTTGTTTTTATCAGCCTGATTAATTTATTTCTCAGTCTTTGCCTTATGGTTGTGCTGGGCAGATGGTGGGTTTTCTTGTGCAAACGAGGTGTGGAGTCACTCCACCTTGGCAGCTGAACTCAAAGCTCGTGGCAAACCGTTGCTTTACAAAGCGGAGTTGCTCAGAGCACAGCCTGCTCTCCCCAGAACCTGGCCTGGGCTTTGGTGTTTGAAGACCCTTACAGAACACAGCCACGGCAAATGGGCAGAACCGAGCACTCTACGGGAAACAGAGGACAGGGAGCCGTGGCTTGCGTTTGTCATGACTTAAAGGGAGGTCATGCAGAGCTCTGCCCCCCCCCGCCAGGTGACTGGTGCAGGCATCTGTTGGTGGCATTTCTGTTGGGCTCCTGCTGCGGCTGAGCCCCTGAGGCCAGAGTGGGCTGCTGCTTCTTGCAGGGCGCTGGTCCCGAGGCTGTTCTGGCTCAGAAGCCCTTGGTGACGCGTGCTGAGGAGATGGGGGCTGGGGAGAGGTCTCCAGCTGGGCCCTTGTTCCCCACCGCCCCCCCACCCCCGCACCCTGCTGGACGCAGCAGAGCAGAAGCAGCTCTGACCACTGACGGCTGAAGTTTTTCACCTTGCAAAGCAAGTTATGCCCTGTGCTGCACACGACAGCCCCCTGTACCCTGGAACCACCTCGGTGGTTCCAGCCCAGGACAGCTTGGCCTCGGGTGCAACACCCCCAGCTGCCCCACAATGGGCTACTTGCTTCACTGTGTCCAGGGCGGGCCGCATCTCTGGATCCCACTGACCACAGTCCAGGAGCCGGACTTCCCCGACTCGGATCCTGGCTGGGCGGCTTCCTGGCTAGCTGGAATGTGAGCTGGGACTGCAGGCACTGTGATGGGTTTGGACTGGTGGCCCCAACGCCTGGACGAGGGCTTGACTCATCGTAGATCCTGGAGAAACATTCTTCACTGTGTGAAGTGACGTCCGGGCAAATGCGGGCGGGACACTGAAGGAATGCCGGTCAGCGTGATTGGCCAGCCTCCTGTGGCCGGGGCCGGAACCTGCCGGTGGGTGGGCTGGTGGGTCTAGAGACACCGTGGCCCGGCTTCTGCCTGTCAGGTGTCTCTCGTGATAACAAATACCCGAGACAGTTGGCTTATAAAGAGGAAAGGGTTCCCTGCTCACAGTTCGGGAGGTTTCAGTCCAGGGCGGACTCGCTCTGCTGTTTGGGGCTCTGCTGTGGTGCCAGGGAGCCTGCTCAGCACGGGGGTGAGAGAAAGAGTCAGGGTCCAGAGCCCCTTCCAGGGTGCGCCCCATGACCTCAGACCTCCAGGAGGCCCCTCTTAAACGCTCCACCCCCTCCTGCCCGTGGCAGGTCAGACCTGGCCTCCCACATGGGTTGACGTCGTGGGTCATGGGGGAACCCCGCAGAGCCTGACCACAGCAGCCCTTTTAGTCCAGGTCCAGTCCTGACCTGGAAGACACCTGGCACCAGCGACTGCCCCTCCCCCAGAGGAAAAGGGGGACCCGGGAGGGCGGGGGCAGGCCCCACAGGGGTTTTCTGTTGGGTCCTTCCCAGGTGAGGGGTGGGCGGTCTCTGCCCTCTCTTGGAGACCCCAGGAGGATCTGGAAGCCGGGTGGTGGGAGGCTCCTCTGCTCCGGGGTTTCTTTGTCCTGTGACCTGGAGCTGGCGGCCGGCCCACAGGCCGCAGACCGTGAAGGCTGCGGCTGCTCAGGCTGTGGTCAGCCCACAAGAAGGTCCAGGCAGCCCGTCTGGCGCCTGGAGTCAGACCCGCCGGCCTCCGGGGCCGCCTGGGGCAGAGCTGGGGCCGTGAGCCCTGCTCTGAGACTTGTGTGGCGTGGAGTCTGGTCGCTGGGGGCGGTTTCGGGAGTTTGTGGAGAGCCTTGGGTGCCCACGGGAGCCACTCCAGGCCCATCCCACGAGCTGCGGCCACAGCCTCCTCCACTGCAGGTGCCAGGGCCACCCGGGCACAGAGGCCGGCCTCGCCCCACACTGGAGGCTGCTTCCTCGACACAGTGAGGTCCTCTCTGAGGTCTGCCCCGGAGGCCTGGGAGTGTGTGACGCGAGGCACGGCTCCCTCCCATGGGGCCGGCTGTCCCCAGGGTGGCCAGTCTCAGGAGGCTAGGGGGTCCTGCCTGCTCTCAGCTGGGCAGGCGGAGCCCTCCACCCAGCCTCGCCTCCCCACGAGGGTCAGGGCCTGCGCAGAGGAAGAAGTCCACAGAGAAGCCACGGTGGCTGTCAGGCCGCAGTGCCTTCCCACCCGCCGGAGACCCCCGGAAATGCCCCCGGATGCCCTCTCAGTGGCAAAGGGACCCCAGAACGAGGCAGCTCTGCTGGCGGCTGTTACCGGGTTCAGCTTTGCTGCCTCAGGAGCATTGTCAGCCGGGGAGGTGGGCTGGCAGCGGGTCCGCCTGCTCAGCCTGCCACAGGGTTGTCACCCAGCCACAGCGAGGCCATGTTGGCCAATGTCCTTTCCAAAGTGCAGGTTGTGATGTCCACAACTGGTGGGGAATTGGAGGCAGCAGAGGACTGAGCCTCAGGAGTGGGCAGAGCTGGCCCCCAAATAAAGGGAAACCGCGAGGTTCCCCGGCCCGCAGCTTCGGGGCCAAAGCCCCAGAGCCCGGATCTTCTGAGTTGTGCTTCTCCTGTGGGGCCATCCATCCGTCAAAGGGTGGACAGAGCGAGGCCTTCCCTGCCCTTCTCCATAAATACTCAATGACCAGCTCCCAGGCCAATCAGTGCCCGTGTCACCTGGCGGAAGGGAACGGGGCTTGGTGGCAGAGAGGCTTCAGGACCTCTCACGGACAGGACATGCCAGCCAGAGAAGCAGGGCCCGCAGGGGCTATGGCGGCTTCAGCGCTGGGGGGTGGCCAGAGACTGGGGCCAGAGCTGGAGCCGTGCTGGACCCAATGCAGGGAAGGCAGGCAGGGACGGCATTGAGGGGCCCCGTCACAGGTGTGGGCCACTGGAGGCAGACAGCCTGGGGCTCAAGGGCCCTATGAAGTGACTGTCACTTCCGGCTGGTTGGGGCTCACAGTCTAGGAAGTGTGCAGTGGACTGGGATGGTGGCCGGGGGTTGCCCGTGACACTCACCTTTAGGTGGCTTGCTGCAGCGCTGACTGGTGAGCGTCCCTCGGCCCTGCCCCTCACCCTTTGGCTCTTATGATGAATTGGAGGCATCTCCAGTTTTAAAATTGTGTCAGTAGTAAGAGATGTGACCAAGGTAAGGATCTCGAGGGGGGGTCTGTCCAGGGGGCCCTGAGGGCTACCACTGCGTCCTTATAAGAGAGGTAGCAGAGATGACCCCACACAGAGGAGCTGGCCATGCAAAAACAGAGGAGGGCCACTGCCAAGGGACGGAGGGAGGGTCCCCTCCGCCAGAGCCCGCAGGGGGAGCAAGCCCTGCTGCCGCCTGACTTTGGATTTCTGCCTCTGGAGCATGCTGCTGTGTGAAGCCACCTGTTTGTGGCACTTGGTCCAGGGCCCCAGGCCCAGGTACAGGAGCTCTGATCTTTGGGTTTGAATTTGTCCTTTCCTACTTAGACGTCACCTGACCTCCTGTCCACCTGGCCAAGAGCACTCTAGGAGTGTCTTCCCCGCCTCCCCCAGTGTCCCCTCTCCCTGGAACCCCTTCCCTTGGCCTCAACAAGCTGTTACTGGGTCCCCCCTCCAGGGTCGGCTTGAACTCTGGGGTCAGCCTGAGAACCTTCCTGGGCCTGAGCCCAGGCCAGCTACACTTCCCCCTGGGAAGGGGGGATCCACGGTGGGTGGTCCTTCGGCTCAGAGCCGAGTGCCACCCACTGGCCTGCGTTTCCCAAGCCTCTGTGCCTCAGCAGACAGCAGGCCATCAGGGGACACTGGGTGCCCGTGAGGGGTTGCTGACGTCGACGCCTGTGTTTAATCTTTCTGGACTTTCTGAAGTGCTGCCGAGCCCCTTATCAACGCAAACACACAGAAGACGGGCTCTTCCCTACCTTTGATCTCCAGAAGTGAAAACCCCCCAGTAGCCAGGAAACACATTTGTTTCATGATTCTCACTTGCGTGTGAAAGTGAGAATCATTGTTTGTCCAAGGAGGGTGACCATGGCTAAGGTCCAGGTAAGATGGCATCGGGCCGCGGAACAAGGCGGAACAAAGCCGCAGCTGGGCCAGCAGCCTCAGGGCCCGAGGCTGTAATCCCTTGGCCTAGGGAGAAGGCTCTTCCCTCCCTCCCTCCCTCCCTCCCTCCCGAGGTCTGTCTGCCTGAGAGGAGAACATTTGCCACTGGATTCCAGTCGTCCTGGGCTGTTCTGCGTGGGAACACCTTCCGAAGCCAGCTGACCCAGGTGAAGCTGCAGGAGAGAACATCCCCCGGCCCCGGGTCCTGCGTGGGAACAGGCGTACGTCTCCATCGCGCCAGGTTTCCCATGTCACAGCTTACGGTGATCGACAGGAATCAGGACAGTGGGGACTGGCAGAGAGACAGACGCACGGGTCAGCAGAACAGAACAGAGAACCCAGAAATATGCCCAACTGGTTTTTGACAAAGAGGCAGAGCCATTCAATGTGAGAGAATAATGGTGTCGGCGCTGGTACCCCACCTGCACAGAATGGCCCCGGATGAAGGGGCGGCTTTTATAGGAATCTACTCAAGATGGACGCAGATTGACTGCAAGGCACCAACTAGAGGACTCTGAAAAAATCCACAGACAAGGATCCAAAGGGATGGCTGAGGAGGTGTTCCTACCACACCAGTTTCCACCAGAGGGAAGATGGAGGACAGCACCGTTGGAATTAAAAGCCTTTGCTCTGAGAAGACTCCTGTGCAGAGGAGAAGCGGGTGAGTCACACTGAGGGCAAGTGTCCACGCACCTCCCCTCCAACAAAGGACAGGGGACTCTCCAAGGCAGCAGCCGAAACCAAACCATCCAGTCAGAACCTGGGCGAGACCCTGAGCAGACGCTCACTTGAGGGGGAGGTCCGGGGACCGCGGCACCTGGAAAGGCGGTCAATGCCATCAGCATCCGGAAAGCAATACCCGGGAGAGGCTGCCTAGCGGCTCCCGGGACAGCTGACACGGCGGCAGCAGATGTCCACTGCGTGTGGGGACACGGGATCAGCCTCTGTTGCCAGGGGAAGTGCCTGTGCCCTGGAGTGGAGTCTGGCAGCTTCTCAGAAGACCAGACCTGCACTGGCCACATGACCTGCTGATTCCTCGGCTGGGCAGAATTGTGCTCCTATGGAACCTGCATGCACCTGCTCAGAGCAACTGCATTCATGGTCACCCCCAACTGGAAGCAGCCCTATGTCCTTCAAGAGGTCAACGGTTGACCACAAGATGGTGGGCCCGTATCTCGGAACACTGAGGGACAGACTATGAAAAGTGCAATGACGTAGGTGAACCCCTGAGATAGATGCAGATTGGGGGAAAAAACCGTCTCCAAGGCTTCCGCACAGCACCATTCCACTTAGCATTTTTGAAAGGGCGAAATTATAGAGATGGAGAACAGATCAGCGGGTGCCAGAGTCCGGGGGAGGCTCTGTGGCTGGGGCGGGCGGCACCAGGCCTTGTGCTCGAGCCACGGCGGATCTGACTGGCGGGGTCACACGGTCTGCCATGTGATGGAGTCCCAGAGAGCCCCCGTCCCACAGGCAGACACCAGAGCACATGAGGTAGGGGCACCTGTGTAAGACCAGAGACTCTGCCCACGTCCACTTCTTCCACCCAGAACCTCTGGGCGCCCCAGGGGGAGAGAGAGATGAGTGCAGACCTTGGAAGATGGCCACTGGGGCCTCGCTGGGATCAGGCAGGCCTCCCTGACCCCTGTGCTGCCCCTGGGGGTGCTGACAGCTGGGCACAAAGCCAGTGACCCAGAGGAAGTCCACGGGCTTGGCACGGAGGCCTGTGGACAGCACTGTCCTTGTCACAGGGCTTCACAAAGATGGAGGGAGGAGAGGGGCTGGGAAGGGACTTCACAAAGTGGTCCCAGGAGACCCCAGAGGCCTCGGAGCCGGGCCCAGTGCAATGCTATTTGCAGGGAGTGGTCACCCGGGGGCAAGGAGAGGGCTAGAGCAGAGGTCCCTGCTCACGATCCTTCTGAAAGGGAAGGGCTTCTGTCCTCTCGGTGCAGGGACGCCCTGCCATGTGTGCTGAGCACAGAGGCTGGGCAAGCGCAGTGGAGAGGAGGCCAGTCCTCACCGTCCAGTGGCTCCTTACAGCCCCACGGTGCTAACAGTTGCTGCGAACGTGGACTTTCTTCCCTGCTTTCCCCCATTGTACCACACACAACGTGGGATTCCTGTTGACATTCCTAAATGCTCCCAGAAGGACCAACCACCCAGTCCCCGTTCCCGGCCTCTACTCACTGGCCTCCCTTTGCTCTTCCCAGGACCACTCCCCCCTCCCCCTTATTCCTCTTTAGCGTCCACACAAGAGAGAAAGCTTCATCCATTTTCCTGCAAATGACATGGTTTCATTGTTCTGGTGGCTGAATAAAGCTCCACTGTGTATAGAGACCATGCTCTTTTTCTTTA